CTCGCTCTCAGCACCCTCTTTACGATTTTCCTAGCTCTTCAGTCTCTTTGAACTTGGAGCCTTCCTCCCCTGTCATCTTCTCTTCGTCTGGTTCCCTTCTTTGATCATTTTCCAGCTGTGGTTTCTTCCGAGTGTGGCCCAAGTGGCGCGTAAACCGTCGGCCCTCAGTAATTCTGACCTCACGCAGTTGACCACGTCCTTTGCGACAGCTGACAGCCACTCTGGCCCGTAACGATTGATCTCTGACACGTAGACCTCTTCACCGATCTTGAAACTTCGGGCTGTGAACGTCTGCTTCAGAAATTGTTGATCCTGCTTTGCCTCAACTGCCCCTCGGAGTTCAAGTGTGAGCAGATCAAGGTTCGTTCCTCAACAAAAGGCCGACACGGCGGAGCGGCGAATGCTGCTATTAAATTGGCTACTTTTAAACACAAGACGCATCAATACTTTTCCCCGTTTTTGCGGGCGTTTAGCTCAGAAGCTAGAGGGGCCTAGGTCTTAAGAAGAACAGGATTGTGAACAGCACCAAAAGGTCTTTGAGATGGCTATTTCAGCTCAAAACCCCATACAAATGTGGAACACTCCCTTTCACTCTTAACAACTGTGAAGCGAAACCAGTTGCTGTTTAAGTATGCCATCATCCACTTCAATGTGAAATGTGATTCATGGCGCGTGAGCAAGGAATGATGACTGGCTCAGGCATTCAAACAAAAAGCCTTGGGTGGGGAATACTGAGGCGTGTTAAAACGGCAAAACTGACTGTTTAATGGTGTCACTTTTGGAAATGTCAAAATGTGCTCCAGTTGAGAGAAATTTGCGTGGTCACTGCACCACCTGTCACATTCTTTTCTGCATTGGTGGAAATTACATGAGAGAAGTATCGCAAAGCTGAAGAGTTAAATATGGGCTTTGTAATACCTACGATGAAATGCAGAAGTGCAAGAAAAAGCAGCAAGTTGTATCAAATCAAAGACTTTTGCTTTTATATTGTCATATATCAGATGACAGAGTTAAACGCACCCTGCGCAACACTTGCCAGCGGTTTATCCGCATTGGAATAAACATGACAAAATTATGTTTCTGATGAGCAGTATCGGCGGTAAGCTGCTTATGCTCTCAGTAGTGAATGGTTCATTTCTTTGGCGTTCCATGACAGCTCATGTTCAATTCAGAAGCGCAGCAAAAGAGAGGGTAGAAAGGGCGGCAACCCCTTAGGCGTGTACTATTCGTTTTTCGGAAGTCTCCAGACAGGAAGTTAAAATTCAGCGTGATGCGTTCCCTCCCAGCTACAGACCTGTTAACACAATTGTGGCTGCACCCCTAAGAAAATTTTAAGGTCACCTTGAATACCTCACAACTGATAGAGCTGGTAAATATGAGGTCGCTGTCCTCACTGAAGCTAATACTCAGCTGCCGACATTGCCAAATTATGCTCCCAGTATAACGCGCAGAAAGCGGACCAGCTGCAACAAAGTTTTTTGTTTATTATCTAGCACGTAGACTATGGCGGACGCAGCGCGTTGGTGGCAAAAACGAGCAGCGGTCGACACAGCTTAATGATGTTGCTGTTCAGTGAGTCGACGGGCAATGACATAATTATTTGCGGACGGCGTATTATTTCCGTTCTTTCCAGCTTTGATGCGCACTACGAATGTGCTCTCCTTAATTTATTTCATCTGATATGCGCTGCGTTTTCGATCCAAGCGTCGTAATGTAGCTGAGTTGAGTTCTGTACAATTCCGTGATGTAAAGCAGTTGCTTTGGTTTTAAACCAGACCTGTAGACAAATTAATTTTGAACCTCAAAGGTGAGTTTGAGGTATTACATGATTTAAACTTTATTTATTTATATTGATATGATGATATGATATGATATGATGACATGATATGATGATTTGATATGATATGATGACATGATACGATGATATGATATGATATGATGATATGATTGATACGATATTAAACTGTTTTATTATAAACATGATTTAAGCATGTATATGTTGGTCAGCATTATGTGTGGTGGATACCGTGGCCATTGGCTTCACAAATATAGGTCTCAGTAAAATAGTAATGCCATTAATATTACTAGGCACCTGTACATGTGCTATATTGTATCTGGTGGTAGTAGACTACAAAATACGACAACGAGATGACTTTGAAACAGCTTCTGGCTCGACATGTTTGCTCGTTCGTTTTTTTTAGGAGCACGAGGCACGTTGTCACGCCCCTTATACGAAGCGCCAACGACTGCATTGTCCATATTAGCGCTCAGAGGCCACCAGTCAGGGGCCGGGGCTCGAATCGTAGCCGGGATTCGAGCCCCGGCCCCTTGAACCGAAAGTGCACATTAATGCACTTTCACAATAGCGGTGCACGATGAATCACCTTAATGTTCGTGCACTTTTGGTCTGAGAAACTCGCTCCTTGTGGTTCTACGAAGGTGTTATCTGTGGTGATGTGAAATTAATGAGTGTGTGCGCGGCGAGTGCATCGTTGTAATGACGCCCAGTGGTCAGCTCCTGGGGGATGAATCGCTGAAGCACTTCATGCACTCTTGTCCTCCATGGGGAACGAGCACGTGCTCTAAGAGTGTAAGGGGCGCGTGCACGCAAGCATTACGCTCTAGACTAGCCCCAAATTAGGAGCATTTGGGAGGGACATGAATATTGTGATCTATAAGTAGGATCCTCGAACCCAAAAAATGCCTCCTAACGAAAATGTTTTCACTTCCGTACTTGTTCTTCATCGGCAACGCTACATCCAGAGCCGTGGCCATAATTGAGGGAGCCCGGAACTCACAGCAGGCGGCGTAGGCGTCCCTTCAGACCGGCGTAGGCGTCTCTTCAGACTGGCGTAGGCGTCCCTTCAGAGCCATGCTGAAGGCAACTGAAGTCAAGAGACATATTGAAACGTAACGAGGCAACGGCTGTTGAAAAGGCATCATATGCATCAGGAACGAACGCTGCGATTTGCTACGCATTGAACCACAAGTTACTTTCCAGCGCGCCTAATTTTGTTAACAAGGACATCTCCCCTATCTCCAGGATCCGCGCTTTCACCGGAGACGTGACGATTAACACCGGTTCCCAGTTGGGAGCTAACTCGCAAACTTTTGTCAGCTCTATCGAGTGGAGTGACTAGCGATTAGATTACCATGGTAATGCTGTTATTTTCGGCAGTTGTCTTAAGTTGGTTGCCGGTCCGAGAGACAATTTGCATGTCAGTTTTCCAATCCGTGCGACTTCGGCACGCTTTGGGTTCGAGTGTAGAGGATGTTATGGATACACCGAACACAAGGCGCAGGAAAGTTTGTTTCGATGTTCATTAGAGTCTAGACAAAGACATCGTTGAAGAATGCAGCGGAGTGAAGCTGATCAATATTTGCAAATTGCTGCCAAGTTCATTCCGAAAGGTTTGGACCCTTTTTGGACCCTTTTGCATGTTGTGCAACATCGGGACCGTTAACAGAATGTATCATGTTATACCCTTTATGCGTGCTATTGTTATTTTTGCGTGCAGCAGTTCTTTCACACCACCTCCACACCTCTTTACGGATTCCTCATCGTTTTGAGTTTCCTGCAGATAGAACCGCACCTTTTTCTGAATAATACATCGTATTTAGCGGTATATGTATCTGTGTTTGACATCAGCTAGCACTCCTCGTACATATGCGGTTGCTACATGCCATTAGTCTCAGAGATAAAAGTGTACGTCAAAAAACAACGGAGAATGATAAGAAGTAAAAAAACGCGCATGCACGCATAAACAGTATGAGGCAACCTTATCGCGCAAAAAAGGCCTGGCGGCGTGCTTGCGCGTCTGACGGTAGGCAAGGATATGTGCAAAGCGCTGGCAATAACATAGATGAACTTATACATGTCTCGTTGAAATGCAGAACAGAAAAGGCCAAACGTTCCACCTGCATCTGTGTTTTCGTGTCATATCTGTGTGACAAAAAAGCCGCAGTTACGTCTTGCGACTCCACTGCCGGCCGATGGCTGGCCAGTTTTTCTTAAAGAGTGATATTTTTTTTTCTCGGGGATGTCGACTTTCAAGGGCTGGTGCTAACTACATGTCATTTCATAATCGCATTTCAGGGAGAATACGCTGCTCAGCCTAAGCCTCAACCAGTTCCCCGCGTCTTCACCATACCAGGATATAAATGGGCTGGAACGGTACCGCAAATCGATATAATAGCAAAATTGAAATGGTGTTCGTCTCTTTTACTGCGAAGTGGTGTCGAACGATGCCGAAGGACTCGAGCACACTGGCGCCAGAACAATCGTGGCACGCAATCTGTAGCTCGACAGATTTGAGCTGCAGGATCTGCTGGAAAAGCTCCTAATTCATTTTTACCAGAATGAGCAGACAATTATGATGTCACGATGCCGATTGCCGAGCCCGCACAATAGCCGACAGATAAAATGTGGTCACTTCTGTGTCCTCTCTTCACCTATAGATGGATTGCTCACAGCTAAAAAAACAAGTTGCTGTCCAGGGTGTTGCTTCATACAGTTATCTGGTTACCCTATTTGGTGAACCGAAGATAAGATTAGCAAAAAGAAGGGACAATTTTGGGGGTTTTCAGTGCCTGCTTGTGATATTTTGGGCGACTTGGTTGGTTATTAGGAGGTTGAGGCACACGTCAGAGAGCCGAGTCTCTCTCAAGTGATGAAGAGATGCGAATATCAATCCTCGCTGTTGCCCTCAAAGGACTGAGCTGATTTTTTCGTGACTCTCATTGATGCAACCTAGTATAAGTACGATCCGAGCCATGCGGAAATACTCTGGGACTTCTGCGTAGCAATAATATTGGAATACAGACCCGCCTCTTCGACAACACCTTCTTGAAAGGTCCATCTTCATCTGCAGAGATCTTCATTTCGAACCAACCGAACGGGCCCGTGCGCGTCTTGCATCCGATCGCAGATGCGTCCGTTCCTCCTTAAAGATCCGACAACGGCTGAAAGAAACACGCGACCGGAGAGATCAAGAATCCAT